ATAATAATATATAAGTTTTCTAAATGTAATTAATATTGCAATTAAGAAAAATGAAAAAAAAGTAGAAGAAAAATAGAGAAGAATATATCTGGAACATCTTTCTTAATATTTTTATACGAATTAAACTAAATTAAACTTAAATTGAAACTTTCAGAAATGTTAAGAAAGTCTACATCTTTTTTTTTAGAATTTTTTGTTTCAGTACATGAATTCTAAAATATCCTAAAAGATTTCTCTAAGATTTCTTATTTAATTTTTAATTTCTGAAAAAATACCTAAATTTTTCAGATTTTTTACGATTTCATCAGAAATTATAAAATAAGAAATCTTTGAATATTTAAGAATCTATAGAAAGAAAATATTCTATATATCTAAAAGATGTATTAAATTCTTAGCACTTCTGAAGTGTAACAATTTATATACAAAATCAGAGAACTTTTCTAAAAAGTTATGAAATAATTCAGAAATTGGAAAAATTCTGAAATTTATATAAAGAAATTCTATTTCATAAATTTTTAATGATACAATTAATGTTTATTAATGATCCTTAAATGAAATTTTCCACATGTCCTACTGGGGAAATAAAAGTTGTTGAATTTTAAGCTCGAAATTGAATATTCAAACAGACTAATTTAGTAAATTTTATCTTATAATATGCGCCTACATAAAAATGGAATTATGAAGATTTTTTTAATGTAGATTTTTAACCTGTTTTTACCAAACATAATTACTAGTATGTAAGTATATTCCAAAGTCTTTATAATTACATTAATTATTAACAATTATAGAGACTTTGAATACACTTCAAACTTTTCAGTCATATATCGTTAATTTAATGTTTAATTTAGTAAAAACAAGCTAGAGGCCCTTCATCACCTCCATCGATATTATCGGCGATCCTTTTTATAAGTATACCCGTAAAAAAGTTACTAATAAATTTAGTATTTCGTTTTTGTAAGTAAGTATATTTTAAATTTATTTTTTATTTTAAGTTTAATTATTTTATTGTATTTTGCTAATCATATTGCATTATAATTAGCGAAATACAATAAAATAATTAGCAATTATATTGCAATCATAACTTTTTAAATATTATTTTTTATTAAGTATTATTTTTTATTATTTTTTATTATATATAATTCTTTATACATTCAATAATACAATAATAAATTCTTTATAATACAATATATAATTATAAATGCTGTTCGAAATATAATAAAAATTATAGGAACATAATTTATAAAATTTAGTAATGCGGGATTACATGAAAACGTCGAAAATACATACGATAATACAAAAATTTTTCTAAATCAATATTTAATAAAATACTGATAAAAGTGGAATACTAACAATTAGATCGCATTCACTATTAATTATTAATTTCTGATTATAAAACTTATTAATATCGCGATAAAAAGTCATTATTTAATGTATTTACAACAGCACTTTTTTATCGCATTTAAGATAACCATCCCAATAATTTGATCACATCAAGATCCCTTCGCCTTACGATACGCTAGTTAATATTCGATACAAAGAAGAACAATCTTCATAATGGAGAATAAACTTAATGTATTCTGATTCTACGTCAAATTCACAAGATCCATTCGCAAAGAAAAATTAAGCAATCCGTCAAACATCAGTATTCTTGTTAGAGGAGAGTATGAATTCTGAATCTTTCAGACCATTTATGATAGTATATAATAATTTTGGTAGCAATATCAATTAAAATTAACATTTTTAGTGTATCTTTAATATAATATTAAAATTCGCGAGAAAATATGTTCAGCCACATTATTAAAAATCATCTCTTATTAAAAATAAATGAATAGAATGATTTCCTTATGGAATAGTGATTACGAAGGAATATATTTAACAACAATAAAATACATGCGTTATTGTAATTTTTTGTATGTATCGGTACAAAAGTTTCTCGAGTACCAACTGTTCGAGATAAATCAAACCTGATAATAACAGGATTGTAAAGAACTATACTTTTATAATGAAAAATTTATATAAAATTTAATAATTCTTATTTTTCTGTACTTTCAAAAAATTTTAATTATTAATATCCCGTTAATATGAGGGTACCCAGTCGATTTATCTCGAATTTTTTTATACCCATACATTTTTTTCATAACAACATTATTAAAAAAATATAAAGCATTTTGATAAAAATTATCTAAATCGACAAATATTAA